AAAAGGCCATGAGTGAAGCTTCAGGGCTTGATGGTTAACAAAAAAATAACCCATGTAAAATGGCACCAGACCGACCGGCTGTGTTGGATGAAAAAGAGTTCAAGGCAGGTAACCATACCTTTGTAAACTATTAGCCAGGTATTGATATGAGCCAATAAATATCTTTACCCATTGTAGTTCTGCCATTTTTGTGTTAATATTTTTTGTGTTATCTTATATTTGATTTTCACCGTCAAGATTTTGTTACGGCTCTTAGAACCGCAGTGGTTTTCGAGATTGCTGTGATAAACTCATATTTATCTTTCATGCGATGCTAGTTAGCCTGAGGTAAAAACACGATTTTTGTTACAATATCCTATTCCAATGCTTCTCATATTTCTTAATTAAATGTGAATAATGTTCGGTTTTTTGAATACGATATATAACTATCTCCAATATAGATAAAGCCCATGTATTCCCTATGACTTCAATATAGTTTACAACCAGAACAAGTTGTATTGAGCATATTATAATTAGATAATATACATGCGATTATACTAACAGGGAACAGAAAATTAAAAGAGTATTTTAACCCAAAGTATAAACCGGTTTTATTAACGGCTTCTATCCATGTATTAACTTTAAGATTCTTTCTCCTTCACTTTTTCCTGTCGAGAATGCTCCATCTACCGTGCCGTACCTCGATACACTCAACGCTTCTCCCGCAAAAAATACTCTTGGCATGTCGTTAACGTATAGAGGTTCTCGTACTTTTTTCTGATGGCTTGACATTTGTCCAATTGTCGGATAGCTGTAGGTGCCAAGAAAATTTGTATCCCGGTGCCATTCGGTGGTTATGATATCATCAGGACCTGGTAATTTTGGATTGTTCAGAAATCGTCGTAACAAATTTGTAACAGTCAGTTTGAGTTCACTTTCAGGTGTTTTACGTATCCGATTCGAGGTCTTTTTAGTTATCCACATCATGAGAAAATTTGTTTTGTAGCTTGTGATTTTATATACGCTACGGCACCAATGACTTTTAACAGAAAACTCGTCTTCGGGTATTGTAGCAGTTAATTCATCGTACGAATCCCATAACAGATATTTTTCGGAAAATTTTCCGGGGCCCCAAAATGGATTTTCGTAAAACAGCAACATTTTGTTGGTAGCACCGAAACCGATCCTCTGTATTGCAGATTGTTTTTTTACCGACAAATTTGGATCAAATAGAGTTTTGTGATATTTTTTGAGACAGCCGATCGAAACCGTCACAAGTACCATATCAGCGGGAATTACTTCAATCTTGTTAAATTGATTTACATACGTTATCGCGACACCACTTTCATTTTTCTTATTCCACTGTATACTTTGAACTTTGCTATTTAACTTGATTGCACTTTTTGGGATATTTTTACTCAATTTTTTGGGCAAAATCATGTATCCATCCAAAACTTTCACGTCGGTGGCACCATACTCTTCATATTGGTACAACGCTAGGTAATTTACAATATTCAGATGACCTCCGACAGCTACCTCCAGTAATCCAAATTCGTTTTTAAAAATTGGGCCGATCACTTCTCTAGTAAGTCCAAGTTTACTATAGTGTCTGAAAAAAAATTTTCTCCACAATTTTCTTGTCAACCTTCCTAGTGGCAAATTAGCCATTTCTTCCTCACTTTTTCTCATTGATGCAATTTCCAAACCAATATAATCCAAAAGTTCTGCAAGAAAATTGGGATTGAAATTAAAATCGATAAATCATTAATTATATTGCATGGCTATTAATTTTTAAAACTTAGTCAAGCATTTTGACAATGAATAACCTGTAATTAATTGTAAAATGCTATGATGTATTTGCTTAAATCAGTACTATTCAGGCTTGTTGAAAACGTTTTATTGTCTTATCTTCTTAATACTAGTTTATTTGACACATCACATAATATGAAACAGTCACTCGATATAGTCAACATGTTAATGATTGTCCAATCTTTACGTTATTCGCAAAACGTTCTAAATACTGCGTAAAGCATGCGTGAATTCGCACCAGTAAGTTACATGGAAAAAAACAATTAAGAAGTGTACTTGAAGAATTCCAAATCAAATCTTCTATAATTGGAGTCAACGGTCTTCCACTGTAGTACTGAAATTCGGAGTCGTTTGCCTGAGAGTAGCGACCCTGACTCTCAATTTCAAGATTTGCATCTTCAGATAGGTACTGTGATAACAAAATACCATGAATGTTGTTTTTGTAATATTACACTTTGCTCAAATCTTAAATAGAAGCATAAAACGTGCTAATAAAAAAATTGAAAAGGTATATGCAAAATTGGGTTTTATTTGTAGACGAGGATGTCAGTAGATAACAAACAAATATTTTTGATTGTCCGATAAGGTACTAACCTTATAAACGGGATTTTCCCCCATTCCATGAATCCACTGAGCCCCGCGTTCATACATATGACCTTTGAATTCTGTTGTAAATATTCGACCTCCAATGCGGTCAGTTGCCTCGAGAATAGTAACATCAGATTGGCCATTTTCAAATAACACTCGAGCAGCGGATAAGCCACTTACTCCTGCCCCGATGATCACAACTTTCTTGCAGTTACAATGTTGTGAAAGACACAGGGTAAGCAAAAATAAAAAACTATAGATGATATTCGTTTTCCTATACATTGTGTCTTTGATTAAACCTAGGAGATGAATCACAAATGAAAGTCTAATTAGCCAACTTTTAACGATTGTTCAAAAGCAACGGGAATGTATTGCACATTGCCCTTCCAGCACCAATTTGAATGTTCAAGGCAAACCAAACCTTGTATCTTAAAGGTGGGTTATCAAACAAATATTTTTGTGGCAAATCTGATTTCTTTATAATTTTTATATTTTTGCGAAACTTGTAGCCCGACTGAAGTGTAGGGCATAAATTAAATCAGTCCAAAGTTGGATTATATAACAGTTTTGACTTGATAGCATCGTACCTTGACTGGAAATTATTGTCAAACAGCCGAGAAATAAAATAAAGTGGTAAAAACTGACTTTAGATTGAGGTCTTCAAAGCCTGTTGCCAGTCTGTCAGTATCGCTACGTTTATTGCATGAAACGACTTTGCTTGATTCTCTGAGCTTCCTATGCATATGCATTTCTGTTTAACATTAGATTATTGTTTCAATCTTTATGGAACTGCGCGCGAAGACCTAGGATTAATAACAGAAGACTGAGATTACTACGATGCTATAAAATCGACTATATATATATTTATATACTATTTTATAGGTATTATTTTAATCACCATTTCTCGATGTGCGAACTTCATGATAACCCAAGGCTTTCTCAACTTCAACTGTGCTTCCTGTACTGCGTATTTTTTTAATGAGCGATTTTATAATAAGGTATTTTTAATCCTGCATGGTGGAGTGTTATAGTCCTAACATTTGCAAAAGCTCGCAGATGAACTTCAAAAATAAAATTGAAAAAAAAAGAGTTTTTCTGCTCAATACGAATGAAAGTTTGAAAACATGAAAAAAAAACTTTAGTTTACCTTGTGACTTCAAAGCTGTCGATATTATAGTAGCATCAATACCTTAACTAAAAGTTATTGCCCACATCATGATCATATTTCAGGTTGATACCTCCGCTCATGTCATCGTTTGCTTGGGGCGTTCGCCGCCTTTTTCTAAAACGTGTATTAAACGTTTCGTATTACACAATTTTGCCACCAATGTCTATGTTTAGAAATTATTTCAAATAAAAACCTGTTATTTATTAGTAAATGGATATCGGTTTTCATATTTTGTATATTTGAATATTTCGTAATTCCCTACTTTGTAATTTTAAAAATAAAAGACATCCCCCCAAAGTGAGCTCTAGTGTTATTTTTCGATAAAAAATTGAAATATTACACTGTCCTATGTTCAAGTAAACGCGGTATATAATTTTTGAATGAAAATGCAATATTGAATCAAAATTCCTTATCTAGGTTTTACGGCTGTTTTAGAACTGATGTAAGCGCATTTTCTACGTTACAAATAGGAATCTGAAGATTTGCATCTGAATTCAGTTAACACTTTTAAATGATAAGCTATACTTCATGTCTGTGGAGATGAAGCCTACACGTAGACAGTTTGCAAGAAAATAATCGTAGCCTAACACTCAAGCATTTATGTTCTCACTATAGGTTGCAATTATGGCATAATTGTATTTAGACTATTGAAAGAACATGTTTTGTTAAATCGCCATACAGTAATAACTGAACTTCTGTGTAATTCGAACATGTTTTATGACTTAAAATTGGTATTTGAAATGAGCAGCTTGAAGAGACCATTACAGATTTAGTTGTGCGTAGTCACGTAAGCTAATAGAACCGACCAAATCTTATTGATTAAAATAGTAAATCAGTGAGCATGAATTGTTCGCATAACTTTGAAATCAACGTCACGTATCAGTCCTTGTATCTTGATATTCCAATAAGTCAAGCATTTGAGAGCTCTAAATCTTATTTTTGTAGAATAACGTACAATTTTACTCTCATCGGAAAGATGTAAAAGCATAAATACAAGACTACTCAGAATTAGCCCAACGACTTGCATACCTCATTTATATTGAAATTTCAAAATGTGATCATCATAAAGGCTGCAGCACCGACAACATAATCATTGATATGCTCGCCCTCACGTGATTGAAAAGCTGTTTGTATCAGCGCCCTAGAATTGCGTTGACACCGTTTCACCTGAAAGCTCACTTACTACAGTTCAAACTAATTGCTTCACATTCTTCATTATATATATATATATATGAAATTCCTGAGTTCGGTGAAAACGATGCAATTGCAGTCAAACAGAAATCCGATGAAACGCATTTCTTGCATGAGTGACCACTTGATATGCAATAAATAAAATATTTTCAATAAATATAACGTAAACTACGCCAATATATGAACTTAAACCCCCGAAGGCCGAGATACAAACGTCATAACTCCAATCAACTCTATTTTATATCTTGGCAGCTTTTTAAATTCTTTATAATACCGTATATATATATTGGATTTGAACTCCTCAATTGTTTTAAATAGACGAGTGCTCTTGTTCTGAACAAAGTGACACGTGTAAAATGGCTGAAATACCATGCTGAGCAAGTTTGTTGTAGAAAGCAGCTACATTTTTCAGAGTTGGATTGGTACTCTGAAAAAATCCCCAAACACACCATTCACCTGTAATAAATAGATGACACTGAGTAGTCAAAATCGGGAAATAAATTTTTTCCCAGTAGCAGCTTTATAAAACTATTTAAACAATGCTTACTACCTCCGTCGTTGCACCTTTGTATACTTCCGTAGTAGTTCTTATAATCACTAACAATCAAAAAATTGTCACCAAATAGTACTTGTTGATCTGAAAATACATGGTTTCGATATTTATGAAGTTAGAATGCCAAGGCATATCCTTGTGAAACGTTTCACAAAAATATATGTCATGTAGAAGTCTTTAACCCTATTTTTAGACACACAAAACGACCGTATGCGATTTCAAAAAGTATGAAGAAAGTATAATCTTTACATTGTCATTGTCTTACCCATAGTATGTGCCGCTGAATTGTAAAGCATTCCCGCATCACTCTTATGATCAGCGATAATCGCCGATTCTTGAATTAAGTTGAATATAAAAAAGAATGAGATTAATATTGTAATACTATCCTTATTATTAACACTAAGACAATCACATACATATTATCCATGTGCGACACTATCATAATATTCATCTCTTATTTATTTGTATATAAACCTGAAGTATACATGTGAACACATAGGTTACTTGACATAAAATATCAATATAGTAACGTATCTTATTATTTTGCATGCTCCAACAATATTGACAATATTGTTCAGTACACGAAAACTGTAAATATCTGTAGAATAGCGTTTGATATAAAATTGAATCGTCACAGATTGGTATAAGCCACAAGATTGAAACTGAAAACTAATCTAATGAATTTAATAAATATTTTTACCGTCGAGATGTTTATTTAATCGATAGATTCCCGCTCTCTGACGATTGAAATGAGCCGTTATTTCTGCCACAGTGGAACTGATATGTAAATATGTAAAATACAAAGTTTTTAAAGATACTGGACACTTAACGAGCTGGTTACAAAATCAAGAAAGGAATCGTCAAAACAGTGCTAATATGATTTCAAATAAAAATTTGAGCGATCTAATTAAAAATATATAGTAAAAAAAAGTGACCTATCAAGGCTAACCACAGCACCAATTTGGAAAAATGAACCAGATTTCGTGCCCAATTATTTCACGTGACAAACATTCATTTATTTACGTTAGTATGAATATACAACCAAGGTTGTCAAGCGCATAAGCCGAGATTGAATCGGAAATAACTCTTCCGATTCTATTCCCCTTCTACAGTCATCATGCCGTAGAATGTGTTTGTTGAGTCACAATGCGTTTTAACGGCGAAGCATGTTTTGCAAATAGGGGCTATTCCAAGCAAAAGTTGAATTCCATCAATTTTTTAAAAAATGTAGTAAAAGTAAGTTTTTTTTATTTTTGATATCAAAAGACATTGGAATTTTATTGGACTGCATTCATTTCATCGAACAATTTAAAATTTCACCCAGGTTTTTGATGATTTATAAAAAAAGGCCTGAAATGTACAAATTTTGGTATAATTGACATATTTTGTGATGATTCCTGACACAAAGTGTTTGATTGTGTGGTACAGTTATTTCATATGGAATTGACGCACTGGATTTAAGTTAATAAAGTTTGAATGTTTGCAGTGCTGTAGAACATTTCTTCACCCATTTAACGATTTATTACCAGAATTTTAGGAGATGATAGATGCCGCTATTTTGAAGTGGAAAATGTTCTGTAGTGTCACATGCAATATGCACATTATTGGCATGGATTTACAGTGTTACATTAAGTAACTTGAGCAACACATAGAGGGGTAGTTCAGCTACTGCACCAGAAAATATTATGGGCTCCCACTGTACCATCACAAAAATTTACAGCACAACACAACGTACTGTTAGTGCATGGTGGATTTGCTGTCCTGTAGTGACACGCTATATTTTACTATATTTTTTTTATCTACTAAGTAAGGTTGGGTGTAACTTTTGTGTAGTTTTTTACATATTCAATAAAGCAACTGATTGGGCAATGAAACAAAACATGTAGCTGAAAATGTGAAAATATATTGAATTAAACAACATGCAAAATTTCTGGAATTGTCCTGTAGTGTCACTTGGAATAGCCCATAGATATCTTGTTTTTACAAAACGTGTGAAGCTGATTTTGTAAACGAATCAATTAATTCAACCAACAACCCTTGCGATTTATAATTGGTCTGTGGCCCACCTCCAAATGTCTCCATGGCCCACTGGTTGAGAACCAGTGAGCTAGACTATCCGTATCTCCCATTCGTTTCAACAGTGATTGCATGGGTACAGGTACGGTCAGACGGTACCGGTATCCTAAGTGCGTCCATACGGCTGAGCAACATATTCCAATAAATTACCTTCTACACGTAAAAACAAATTTCCCGAATTTTCGTACTCAATTCTATATTCTCTTATCATTATTATAAATATATTACTTCTAGTTGAACTTGTAGCATGGAGAATTTATAGAACAGTTTCGTTTTGAATTTATTGAATATTGCTCAAGAAAATCAGTCGTGAGTTAGAAACCCAGGAAACACCGTTTGTGCGCGTAGGATTATGCATGACAACGTTGGTCCCAAGCCTAAGCAAATTTTCTCAAAATAAAAACGCGTGACAACGATGGGCCACGAGGCGGTTGTCAACCTTTGTATTTTTTTTTTATTCACGTTTTTTTTCTTTAATTTTTTTTTATAATTTCGTTTTTATTTTATTTTCGTTTTTATTTTAAATTTTTTTTTCGCATTTTATTTATAATTTTTTTTTTTAATTTTTTTTAATTTTTTTTTTATGTTTTTTTACAACTATTTTTTTATTTTACTTTTATTTTAAGTTTTTTATTTTATTTTTAATTTTTTTTCAATTTTAAACGTGACAACGATGAGCAACCATACTCTATCACACGCTATTAAAAGGCCATGAGTGAAGCTTCAGGGCTTGATGGTTAACAAAAAAATAACCCATGTAAAATGGCACCAGACCGACCGGCTGTGTTGGATGAAAAGAGTTCAAGGCAGGTAACCATACCCTTGTAAACTATTAGCCAGGTATTGATATGAGCCAATGAATATCTTTACCCATTGTAGTTCTGCCATTTTTGTGTTAATATTTTTTGTGTTATCTTATATTTGTTCTTCACCGTCAAGATTTTGTTACGGCTCTTAGAACCGCAGTGGCTTTCGAGATTGCTGTGATAAACTCATATTTATCTTTCATGCGATGCTAGTTAGCCTGAGGTAAAAACACGATTTTTGTTACAATATCCTATTTCAATGCTTCTCATGTTTCTTAATTAAATGTGAATAATGTTCGGTTCTTTGAATACGATATATAACTATCTCCAATATAGATATAGCCCATGTATTTCCTATGACTTCAATATAGTTTACAACCAGAACCAGTTGTATTGAGCATATTGTAATTAGATAATATACATGCGATTATACTAACAAGGAACAGAAAATTAAAAGAATATTTTAACCCAAAGTATAAACCGGCTTTATTAACGGCTTCTATCCATGTATTAACTTTAAGATTCTTTCTCCTTCACTTTTTCCTGTCGAGAATGCTCCATCTACCGTGCCGTACCTCGATACACTCAACGCTTCTCCCGCAAAAAATACTCTTGGCATGTCGTTAACGTATAGAGGTTCTTGTACTTTTTTCTGATGGCTTGACATTTGTCCAATTGTCGGATAGCTGTAGGTGCCAAGAAAATTTGTATCCCGGTGCCATTCGGTGGTTATGATATCATCAGGACCTGGTAATTTTGGATTGTTCAGAAATCGTCGTAACAAATTTGTAACAGTCAGTTTGAGTTCACTTTCAGGTGTTTTACGTATCCGATTCCAAGTCTTTTTAGTTATCCACATCATGAGAAAATTTGTTTTGTAGCTTGTGATTTTATATACGCCACGACACCAATGACTTTTAACAGAAAACTCGTCTTCGGGTATTGTAGCAGTTAATTCATCGTACGAATCCCATAACAGATATTTTTCGGAAAATTTTCCGGGGCCCCAAAATGGATTTTCGTAAAACAGCAACATTTTGTTGGTAGCGCCGAAACCGATCCTCTGTATTGCAGATTGTTTTTTTACCGACAAATTTGGATCAAAGAGAGTTTTGTGATATTTTTTCAGACAGCCGATCGAAACCGTCACAAGTACCATATCAGCGTGAATTACTTCAGCCTTGTTAAATTGATTTACATAAGTTATCGCGACGCCACTTTCATTTTTCTTATTCCACTGTATACTTTGAACTTTGCTATTTAACTTGATTGCACTTTTTGGGATATTTTTACTCAATTTTTTGGGCAAAATCATGTATCCATCCAAAACTTTCACGTCGGTGGCACCATACTCTTCATATTGGTACAACGCTAGGTAATTTACAATATTCAGATGACCTCCGACAGCTACCTCCAGTAATCCAAATTCGTTTGTAAAAATTGGGCCGATAACTTCTCTAGTAAGTCCAAGTTTACTATAGTGTCTGGAAAAAAATTTTCTCCACAATTTTCTTGTCAAGCTTCCTAGTGGCAAATTAGCCATTTCTTCCTCACTTTTTCCCATTGATGCAATTTCCAAACCAATATAATCCAAAAGTTCTGCAAGAAAATTGGGATTGAAATTAAAATCGATAAATCATTAATTATATTGCATGGCTATTAATTTTTAAAACTTAGTCAAGCATTTTGACAATGAATAACCTGTAATTAATTGTAAAATGCTATGATGTATTTGCTTAAATCAGTACTATTCAGGCTTGTTGAAAACGTTTTATTGTCTTATCTTCTTAATACTAGTTTATTTGACACATCACATAATATGAAACAGTCACTCGATATAGTCAACATGTTAATGATTGTCCAATCTTTACGTTATTCGCAAAACGTTCTAAATACTGCGTAAAGCATGCGTGAATTCGCACCAGTAAGTTACATGGAAAAAAACAATTAAGAAGTGTACTTGAAGAATTCCAAATCAAATCTTCTATAATTGGAGTCAACGGTCTTCCACTGTAGTACTGAAATTCGGAGTCGTTTGCCTGAGAGTAGCGACCCTGACTTTCAATTTCAAGATTTGCATCTTCAGATAGGTACTGTGATAACAAAATACCATGAATGTTGTTTTTGTGATATTACACTTTGCTCAAATCTTAAATAGAAGCATAAAACGTGCTAATAAAAAAATTGAAAAGGTATATGCAAAATTGGGTTTTATTTGTAGACGAGGATGTCAGTAGATAACAAACAAATATTTTTGATTGTCCGATAAGGTACTAACCTTATAAACGGGATTTTCCCCCATTCCATGAATCCACTGAGCTCCGCGTTCATACATATGACCTTTGAATTCTGTTGTAAATATTCGACCTCCAATGCGGTCAGTTGCCTCGAGAATAGTAACATCAGATTGGCCATTTTCAAATAACACTCGAGCAGCGGATAAGCCACTTACTCCTGCCCCGATGATCACAACTTTCTTGCAGTTACAATGTTGTGAAAGACACAGGGTAAGCAAAAATAAAAAACTATAGATGATATTCGTTTTCCTATACATTGTGTCTTTGATTAAACCTAGGAGATGAATCACAAATGAAAGTCAAATTAGCCAACTTTTAACGATTGTTCAAAAGCAACGGGAATGTATTGCACATTGCCCTTCCAGCATCAATTTGAATGTTCAAGGCAAACCAAACCTTGTATCTTAAAGGTGGGTTATCAAACAAATATTTTTGTGGCAAATCTGATTTCTTTATAATTTTTATATTTTTGCGAAACTTGTAGCCCGACTGAAGTGTAGGGCATAAATTAAATCAGTCCAAAGTTGGATTATATAACAGTTTTGACTTGATAGCATCGTACCTTGACTGGAAATTATTGTCAAACAGCCGAGAAATAAAATAAAGTGGTAAAAACTGACTTTAGATTGAGGTCTTCAAAGCCTGTTGCCAGTCTGTCAGTATCGCTACGTTTATTGCATGAAACGACTTTGCTTGATTCTCTGAGCTTCCTATGCATATGCATTTCTGTTTAACATTAGATTATTGTTTCAATCTTTATGGAACTGCGCGCGAAGACCTAGGATTAATAACAGAAGACTGAGGTTACTACGATGCTATAAAATCTACTATATATATATTTATATACTATTTTAGGGGCTCCCGAAGTATGCGAACCAAGATGGCGGACATCGGAATGTAATATGTGTACTAGGTTAGGGTTAGGCCATAATTTTAGGTATAAATACTTCGGGAGGCTCTTGGCTAGTCTTCGAACTGATAATAGGACTAAATAAAGGAAAATTGGAAAAAAATTATCGCCTAACCCTAACCTGTTACCCATGTTACGTTCCGATGTCCGCCATCTTGGTTCGCATACTTCGGGAGCACCCTATTTTATAGGTATTATTTTAATCACCATTTCTCGATGTGCGAACTTCATGATAACCCAAGGCTTTCTCAACTTCAACTGTGCTTCCTGTACTGCGTATTTTTTAATGAGCGATTTTATAATAAGGTATTTTTAATCCTGCATGGTGGAGTGTTATAGTCCTAACATTTGCAAAAGCTCGCAGATGAACTTCAAAAATAAAATTGAAAAAAAAAAGAGTTTTTCTGCTCAATACGAATGAAAGTTTGAAAACATGAAAAAAAAACTTTAGTTTACCTTGTGACTTCAAAGCTGTCGATATTATAGTAGCATCAATACCTTAACTAAAAGTTATTGCCCACATCATGATCATATTTCAGGTTGATACCTCCGCTCATGTCATTGTTTGCTTGGGGCGTTCGCCGCCTTTTTCTAAGACTTGTATTGAACGTTTCGTATTACACAATTTTGCCACCAATGTCTATGTTTAGCAATTATTTCAAATAAAAACCTGTTATTTATTAGTAAATGGATATCGGTTTTCATATTTTGTATATTTGAATATTTCGTAATTCCCTACTTTGTAATTTTAAAAATAAAAGACATCCCCCCAAAGTGAGCTCTAGTGTTATTTTTCGATAAAAAATTGAAATATTACACTGTCCTATGTTCAAGTAAACGCGGTATATAATTTTTGAATGAAAATGCAATATTGAATCAAAATTCCTTATCTAGGTTTTACGGCTGTTTTAGAACTGATGTAAGCGCATTTTCTACGTTACAAATAGGAATCTGAAGATTTGCATCTGAATTCAGTTAACACTTTTAAATGATAAGCTATACTTCATGTTTGTGGAGATGAAGCCTACACGTAGACAGTTTGCAAGAAAATAATCGTAGCCTAACACTCAAGCATTTATGTTCTCACTATAGGTTGCAATTATGGCATAATTGTATTTAGGCTATTGAAAGAACATGTTTTGTTAAATCGCCATACAGTAATAACTGAACTTCTGTGTAATTCGAACATGTTTTATGACTTAAAATTGGTATTTGAAATGAGCAGCTTGAAGAGACCATTACAGATTTAGTTGTGCGTAGTCACGTAAGCTAATAGAACCGACCAAATCTTATTGATTAAAATAGTAAATCAGTGAGCATGAATTGTTCGCATAACTTTGAAATCAACGTCACGTATCAGTCCTTGTATCTTGATATTCCAATAAGTCATGCATTTGAGAGCTCTAAATCTTATTTTTGTAGAATAACGTACAATTTTACTCTCATCGGAAAGATGTAAAAGCATAAATACAAGACTACTCAGAATTAGCCCAACGACTTGCATACCTCATTTATAATGAAATTTCAAAATGTGATCATCATAAAGGCTGCAGCACCGACAACATAATCATTGATATGCTCGCCCTCACGTGATTGAAAAGCTGTTTGTATCAGCGCCCTAGAATTGCGTTGACACCGTTTCACCTGAAAGCTCACTTACTACAGTTCAAACTAATTGCTTCACATTCTTCATTATATATATATATTTTTCAGCTACATTTTTCAGAGTTGGATTGGTACTCTGAAAAAATCCCCAAACACACCATTCACCTGTAATAAATAGATGACACTGAGTAGTCAAAATCGGGAAATAAATTTTTTCCCAATAGCAGCTTTATAAAACTATTTAAACAATGCTTACTACCTCCGTCGTTGCACCTTTGTATACTTCCGTAGTAGTTCTTATAATCACTAACAATCAAAAAATTGTCACCAAATAGTACTTGTTGATCTGAAAATACATGGTTTCGATATTTATGAAGTTAGAATGCCAAGGCATATCCTTGTGAAACGTTTCACAAAAATATATGTCATGTAGAAGTCTTTAACCCTATTTTTAGACACACAAAACGACCGTATGCGATTTCAAAAAGTATGAAGAAAGTATAATCTTTACATTGTCATTGTCTTACCCATAGTATGTGCCGCTGAATTGTAAAGCATTCCCGCATCACTCTTATGATCAGCGATAATCGCCGATTCTTGAATTAAGTAGAATAGAAAAAAGAATGAGATTAATATTGTAATACTATCCTTATTATTAACACTAAGACAATCACATACATATTATCCATGTGCGACACTATCATAATATTCATCTCTTATTTATTTGTATATAAACCTGAAGTATACATGTGAACACATAGGTTACTTGACATAAAATATCAATATAGTAACGTATCTTATTATTTTGCATGCTCCAACAATATTGACAATATTGTTCAGTACACGAAAACTGTAAATATCTGTAGAATAGCGTTTGATATAAAATTGAATCGTCACAGATTGGTATAAGCCACAAGATTGAAACTGAAAACTATTCTAATGAATTTAATAAATATTTTTACCGTCGAGATGTTTATTTAATCGATAGATTCCCGCTTTCTGACGATTGAAATGAGCCGTTATTTCTGCCACAGTGGAACTGATATGTAAATATGTAAAATACAAAGTTTTTAAAAGATACTGGACACTTAACGAGCTGGTCACAAAATCAAGAAAGGAATCGTCAAAACAGTGCTAATATGATTTCAAATAAAAATTTGAGCGATCTAATTAAAAATATATAGTAAAAAAAAGTGACCTATCAAGGCTAACCACAGCACCAATTTGGAAAAATGAACCAGATTTCGTGCCCAATTATTTCACGTGACAAACATTCATTTATTTACGTTAGTATGAATATACAACCAAGGTTGTCAAGCGCATAAGCCGAAATTGAATCGGAAATAACTCTTCCGATTCTATTCCCCTTCTACAGTCATCATGCCGTAGAATGTGTTTGTTGAGTCACAATGCGTTTTAACGGCGAAGCATGTTTTGCAAATAGGGGCTATTCCAAGCAAAAGTTGAATTCCATCAATTTTTTAAAAAATGTAGTAAAAGTAATTTTTTTTAATTTTTGATATCAAAAGACATTGGAATTTTATTGGACTGCATTCATTTCATCGAACAATTTAAAATTTCACCCAGGTTTTTGATGATTTATAAAAAAAGGCCTGAAATGTACAAATTTTGGTATAATTGACATATTTTGTGATGATTCCTGACACAAAGTGTTTGATTGTGTGGTACAGTTATTTCATATGGAATTGACGCACTGGATTTAAGTTAATAAAGTTTGAATGTTTGCAGTGCTGTAGAACATTTCTTCACCCATTTAACGATTTATTACCAGAATTTTAAGAGATGATAGATGCCGCTATTTTGAAGTGGAAAATGTTCTGTAGTGTCACATGCAATATGCACATTATTGGCATGGATTTACAGTGTTACATTAAGTAACTTGAGCAACACATAGAGGGGTAGTTCAGCTACTGCACCAGAAAATATTATGGGCTCCCACTGTACCATCACAAAAATTTACAGCACAACACAACGTACTGTTAGTGCATGGTGGATTTGCTGTCCTGTAGTGACACGCTATATTTTACTATATTTTTTTTATCTACTAAGTAAGGTTGGGTGTAACTTTTGTGTAATTTTTTACATATTCAATAAAGCAACTGATTGGGCAATGAAACAAAACATGTAGCTGAAAATGTGAAAATATATTGAATTTAACAACATGCAAAATTCCTGGAATTGTCCTGTAGTGCATAGGTTCTCAAAGTGCTCCGTACGGAGCCCCAGGGCTCCGAGAGAGAAACCCAGGGGCTCCGCGAGCTATCCGATTACTTTTCAGAATAATGACTAGTTTTGTAACTGTTCAAAGAAGCAATAACAGTTTTGATAAAATTTGACAACAATATAGCCTCGAAATATGGCAAAGAGGCGGAATTAAAAAATGACATTATTTATTAGCTGGAGCGCAGCCAGGATTCTCAAGAGGTTGGGATTTGAATCGGAAATTTCCGCGCAACATTCTTTGCGATTATAAAAAACGGATAACGAAATTTCTGTTGCGTAAAATATTCAATGTATGGCCGATGCGAGCATTTAAAGTGTCTTGTCGTAATAATTCAATTGCACTCATAGTTACTCAAGTTTCCTTCGAGATTACTATTAGGATTACTAAAATGAAAGAATACTATTCTAAAATAACATAAAATACGTGATAAACTGCCAACTATAAATAAATTGGAGTCGTATTTTTGCGATCTTGGAATTTGTCAAACTTGATTTGTTCTTTTGCACTCGAGATTATTATTAATTAAGCAAGATATCGCCGTTTAAAAAAATCACAAGATCTGGGCAAAATACGATTGAAATTTATTTTAATGCATGCGGCTCCGTCGGTAGTTTCAGAATAAAAAAAAGGTAAATCGCGCACACAATTGACTGTGTTTCGATTTCGCAGTTACTATACGATGAATAACCAAAGAAAACCCAACATTACACCAAATTTTGTGATTTACAATGCCTATAAAAGCGTTTTTAATCTGACGTGAGTCTGCTAAAACCAAACTTATAGTGTGATCTTTTATTTTAGGTTTTAATATTTTAGAATGCCGTTTTTCAATCAAGAAATTTGAGTTGGGGATTTACCTCTTTATTATTAATTTTTAGCATTTCGTCGCCGATGACTATATGGTAACAAGTTTTTCACATTGAACTCATAATTCCCCACGAGAACAAAAAAACATTTATCGTCGTCATTGTGGAACAATATATGTATATGCCGAAGAAAATTTTTGATTTAGGGAGAATAAACACCGGCGTAAAGATGTTTAAAAACATGCCATGCTGACGAAAACTATCGGTGATTGTAACAAAATGCAATCGCGCACGTTATTAGCGGCCTTTTAAGTCTTCCGAAAATGTCAAAAGGGAAAAGATTCGACCCCTAGTTTATTAATATGTTTGTCAAGTGTCAAATTAACAGCTTTAGTAAGAGTATATATAATTTATCTTTGAAATTTTGATTTATTCATGACTTGCATTAACCCCATTAAAAAAAGGTTTAGCATTTAAATTAAGTTAAGTACTTTAAACTTATTCAGGAATATTTATCGGAAAGCTACAATTTTAACATTTCTTTTGGGGCTCCGCGAATAAAAGTCAACCGTTTCAGGGGCTCCGCAACACCAAAAGTTTGAGAATCCCTGCTGTAGTGTCACTTGGAATAGCCCATAGATATCTTGTTTTTACAAAACGTGTGAAGCTGATTTTGTAAACGAATCAATTAATTCAACCAACAACCCTTGCGATTTATAATTGGTCTGTGGCCCACCTCCAAATGTCTCCATGGCCCACTGGTTGAGAACCAGTGAGCTAGACTATGCGTATCTCCCATTCGTTTCAACAGTGATTGCATGGGTACAGGTACGGTCAGACGGTACCGGTATCCTAAGTGCGTCCATACAGCTGAGCAACATATTCCAATAAATTACCTTCTACACGTAAAAACAAATTTCCCGAATTTTCGTACTCAATTCTATATTCTCTTATCATTATTATAAATATATTACTTCTAGTTGAACTTGTAGCATGGAGAATTTATAGAACAGTTTCGTTTTGAATTTATTGAATATTGCTCAAGAAAATCAGTCGTGAGTTAGAAACCCAGGAAACACCGTTTGTGCGCGTAGGATTATGCATGACAACGTTGGTCCCAAGCCTAAGCAAATTTTCTCAAAATAAAAACGCGTGACAACGATGGGCCACGAAGCGGTTGTCAACCTTTGTATTTTTTTTTTATTCACGTTTTTTTTTTTTTAATTTTTTTTTTATAATTTCGTTTTTATTTTATTTTCGTTTTTATTTTAAATTTTTTTTTCGCATTTTATTTATAATTTTTTTTTTTAATTTTTTTTAATTTTTTTTTATGTTTTTTTACAACTATTTTTTTATTTTACTTTTATTTTAAGTTTTTTCATTTTATTTTTAATTTTTTTTCAATTTTAAGCGTGACAACGATGAGCAACCATACTCTATCACACGCTATTAAAAGGCCATGAGTGAAGCTTCAGGGCTTGATGGTTAACAAAAAAATAACCCATGTAAAATGGCACCAGACCGACCGGCTGTGTTGGATGAAAAGAGTTCAAGGCAGGTAACCATACCCTTGTAAACTATTAGCCAGGTATTGATATGAGCCAATGAATATCTTTACCCATTGTAGTTCTGCCATTTTTGTGTTAATATTTTTTGTGTTATCTTATATTTGATTTTCACCGTCAGGATTTTGTTACGGCTCTTAGAACCGCAGTGGTTTTCGAGATTGCTGTGATAAACTCATATTTATCTTTCATGCGATGCTAGTTAGCCTGAGGTAAAAACACGATTTTTTGGTACAATATCCTATTCCAATGCTTCTCATGTTTCTTAATTAAATGTGAATAATGTTCGGTTCTTTGAATACGATATATAACTATCTCCAATATAGATAAAGCCCATGTATTCCCTATGACTTCAATATAGTTTACAACCAGAACAAGTTGTATTGAGCATATTATAATTAGATAATATACATGCGATTATACTAACAAGGAACAGAAAATTAAAAGGGTATTTTAACCCAAAGTATAAACCGGCTTTATTAACGGCTTCTATCCATGTATTAACTTTAAGATTCTTTCTCCTTCACTTTTTCCTGTCGAGAATGCTCCATCTACCGTGCCGTACCTCGATACACTCAACGCTTCTCCCGCAAAAAATACTCTTGGCATGTCGTTAACGTATAGAGGTTCTCGTACTTTTTTCTGATGGCTTGACATTTGTCCAATTGTCGGATAGCTGTAGGTGCCAAGAAAATTTGTATCCCGGTGCCATTCGGTGGTTATGATATCATCAGGACCTGGTAATTTTGGATTGTTCAGAAATCGTCGTAACAAATTTGTAACAGTCAGTTTGAGTTCACTTTCAGGTGTTTTACGTATCCGATTCGAAGTTTTTTTAGTTATCCACATCATGAGAAAATTTGTTTTGTAGCTTGTGATTTTATATACGCCACGACACCAATGACTTTTAACAGAAAACTCGTCTTTGGGTATTGTAGCAGTTAATTCATCGTACGAATCCCATAACAGATATTTTTCGGAAAATTTTCCGGGGCCCCAAAATGGATTTTCGTAAAACAGCAACATTTTGTTGGTAGCACCGAAACCGATCCTCTGTATTGCAGATTGTTTTTTTACCGACAAATTTGGATCAAAGAGAGTTTTGTGATATTTTTTCAAACAGCCGATCGAAACCGTCACAAGTACCATATCAGCGTGAATTACTTCAGCCTTGTTAAATTGATTTACATAAGTTATCGCGACGCCACTTTCATTTTTCTTATTCCACTGTATACTTTGAACTTTGCTATTTAACTTGATTGCACTTTTTGGGATATTTTTACTCAATTTTTTGGGCAAAATCATGTATCCATCCAAAACTTTCACGTCGGTGGCACCATACTCTTCATATTGGTACAACGCTAGGTAATTTACAATATTCAGATGACCTCCGACAGCTACCTCCAGTAATCCAAATTCGTTTGTAAAAATTGGGCCGATCACTTCTCTAGTAAGTCCAAGTTTACTATAGTGTCTGGAAAAAAATTTTCTCCACAATTTTCTTGTCAAGCTTCCTAGTGGCAAATTAGCCATTTCTTCCTCACTTTTTCCCATTGATGCAATTTCCAAACCAATATAATCCAAAAGTTCTGCAAGAAAATTGGGATTGAAATTAAAATCGATAAATCATTAATTATATTGCATGGCTATTAATTTTTAAAACTTAGTCAAGCATTTTGACAATGAATAACCTGTAATTAATTGTAAAATGCTTTGATGTATTTGCTCAAATCAGTACTATTCAGGCTTGTTGAAAACGTTTTATTGTCTTATCTTCTTAATACTAGTTTATTTGACACATCACATAATATGAAACAGTCACTCGATATAGTCAACATGTTAATGATTGTCCAATCTTTACGTTATTCGCAAAACGTTCTAAATACTGCGTAAAGCATGCGTGAATTCGCACCAGTAAGTTACATGGAAAAAAACAATTAAGAAGTGTACTTGAAGAATTCCAAATCAAATCTTCTATAATTGGAGTCAACGGTCTTCCACTGTAGTACTGAAATTCGGAGTCGTTTGCCTGAGAGTAGCGACCCTGACTCTCAATTTCAAGATTTGCATCTTCAGATAGGTACTGTGATAACAAAATACCATGAATGTTGTTTTTGTGATATTACACTTTGCTCAAATCTTAAATAGAAGCATAAAACGTGCTAATAAAAAAATTGAAAAGGTATATGCAAAATTGGGTTTTATTTGTAGACGAGGATGTCAGTAGATAACAAACAAATATTTTTGATTGTCCGATAAGGTACTAACCTTATAAACGGGATTTTCCCCCATTCCATGAATCCACTGAGCTCCGCGTTCATACATATGACCTTTGAATTCTGTTGTAAATATTCGACCTCCAATGCGGTCAGTTGCCTCGAGAATAGTAACATCAGATTGGCCATTTTCAAATAACACTCGAGCAGCGGATAAGCCACTTACTCCTGCCCCGATGATCACAACTTTCTTGCAGTTACAATGTTGTGAAAGACACAGGGTAAGCAAAAATAAAAAACTATAGATGATATTCGTTTTCCTATACATTGTGTCTTTGATTAAACCTAGGAGATGAATCACAAATGAAAGTCAAATTAGCCAACTTTTAACGATTGTTCAAAAGCAACGGGAATGTATTGCACATTGCCCTTCCAGCACCAATTTGAATGTTCAAGGCAAACCAAACCTTGTATCTTAAAGGTGGGTTATCAAACAAATATTTTTGTGGCAAATCTGATTTCTTTATAATTTTTATATTTTTGCGAAACTTGTAGCCCGACTGAAGTGTAGGGCATAAATTAAATCAGTCCAAAGTTGGATTATATAACAGTTTTGACTTGATAGCATCGAACCTTGACTGGAAATTATTGTCAAACAGCCGAGAAATAAAATAAAGTGGTAAAAACTGACTTTAGATTGAGGTCTTCAAAGCCTGTTGCCAGTTTGTCAGTATCGCTACGTTTATTGCATGAAACGACTTTGCTTGATTCTCTGAGCTTCCTATGCATATGCATTTCTGTTTAACATTAGATTATTGTTTCAATCTTTATGGAACTGCGCGCGAAGACCTAGGATTAATAACAGAAGACTGAGGTTACTACGATGCTATAAAAGCGACTATATATATATTTATATACTATTTTAGGGGCTCCCGAAGTAAGTCCCTATTTTATAGGTATTATTTTAATCACCATTTCTCGATGTGCGAACTTCATGATAACCCAAGGCTTTCTCAACTTCAACTGTGCTTCCTGTACTGCGTATTTTTTTAATGAGCGATTTTATAATAAGGTATTTTTAATTCTGCATGGTGGAGTGTTATAGTCCTAACATTTGCAAAAGCTCGCAGATGAACTTCAAAAATAAAATTGAAAAAAAAGAGTTTTTCTGCTCAATACGAATGAAAGTTTGAAAACATGAAAAAAAAACTTTAGTTTACCTTGTGACTTCAAAGCTGTCGATATTATAGTAGCATCAATACCTTAACTAAAAGTTATTGCCCACATCATGATCATATTTCAGGTTGATACCTCCGCTCATGTCATTGTTTGCTTGGGGCGTTCGCCGCCTTTTTCTAAAACGTGTATTGAACGTTTCGTATTACACAATTTTGCCACCAATGTCTATGTTTAGCAATTATTTCAAATAAAAACCTGTTATTTATTAGTAAATGGATATCGGTTTTCATATTTTGTATATTTGAATATTTCGTAATTCCCTACTTTGCAATTTTAAAAATAAAAGACATCCCCCCAAAGTGAGCTCTAGTGTTATTTTTCGATAAAAAATTGAAATATTACACTGTCCTATGTTCAAGTAAACGCGGTATATAATTTTTGAATGAAAATGCAATATTGAATCAAAATTCCTTATCTAGGTTTTACGGCTGTTTTAGAACTGATGTAAGCGCATTTTCTACGTTACAAATAGGAATCTGAAGATTTGCATCTGAATTCAGTTAACACTTTTAAATGATAAGCTATACTTCATGTCTGTGGAGATGAAGCCTACACGTAGACAGTTTGCAAGAAAATAATCGTAGCCAACACTCAAGCATTTATGTTCTCACTATAGGTTGCAATTATGGCATAATTGTATTTAGGCTATTGAAAGAACATGTTTTGTTAAATCGCCATACAGTAATAACTGAACTTCTGTGTAATTCGAACATGTTTTATGACTTAAAATTGGTATTTGAAATGAGCAGCTTGAAGAGACCATTACAGATTTAGTTGTGCGTAGTCACGTAAGCTAATAGAGCCGACCAAATTTTATTGATCAAAATAGTAAATCAGTGAGCATGAATTGTTCGCATAACTTTGAAATCAACGTCACGTATCAGTTCTTGTATCTTGATATTCCAATAAGTCAAGCATTTGAGAGCTCTAAATCTTATTTTTGTAGAATAACGTACAATTTTACTCTCATCGGAAAGATGTAAAAGCATAGATACAAGACTACTCAGAATTAGCCCAACGACTTGCATACCTCATTTATAATGAAATTTCAAAATGTGATCATCATGAAGGCTGCAGCACCGACAACATAATCATTGATATGCTCGCCCTCACGTGATTGAAAAGCTGTTTGTATCAGCGCCCTAGAATTGCGTTGACACCGTTTCACCTGAAAGCTCACTTACTAATATATATATGAAATTCCTGAGTTCGGTGAAAATGATGCAATTGCAGTCAAACAGAAATCCGATAAAACGCATTTCTTGCATGAGTGACCACTTGATATGCAATAAATAAAATATTTTCAATAAATATAACGTAAACTACGCCAATATGTGAACTTAAACCCCCGAAGGCAGAGATACAAACGTCATAACTCCAATCAACTCTATTTTATATCTTGGCATCTTTTTAAATTCTTTATAATACCGTATATATATATTGGATTTGAACTCCTCAATTGTTTTAAATAGACGAGTGCTCTTGTTCTGAACAAAGTGACACGTGTAAAATGGCTGAAATACCATGCTGAGCAAGTTTGTTGTAGAAAGCAGCTATATTTTTCAGAGTTGGATTGGTACTCTGAAAAAATCCCCAAACACACCATTCACCTGTAATAAATAGATGACACTGAGTAGTCAAAATCGGGAAATAAATTTTTTCCCAATAGCAGATTTATAAAACTATTTAAACAATGCTTACTACCTCCGTCGTTGCACCTTTGTATACTTCCGTAGTAGTTCTTATAATCACTAACAATCAAAAAATTGTCACCAAATAGTACTTGCTGATCTGAAAATACATGGTTTCGATATTTATGAAGTTAGAATGCCAAGGCATATCCTTGTGAAACGTTTCACAAAAATATATGTCATGTAGAAGTCTTTAACCCTATTTTTAGACACACAAAACGACCGTATGCGATTTCAAAAAGTATGAAGAAAGTATAATCTTTACATTGTCATTGTCTTACCCATAGTATGTGCCGCTGAATTGTAAAGCATTCCCGCATCACTCTTATGATCAGCGATAATCGCCGATTCTTGAATTAAGTTGAATATAAAAAAGAATGAGATTAATATTGTAATACTATCCTTATTATTAACACTAAGACAATCACATACATATTATCCATGTGCGACACTATCATAATATTCATCTCTTATTTATTTGTATATAAACCTGAAGTATACATGTGAACACATAGGTTACTTGACATAAAATATCAATTAGGTAACGTATCTTATTATTTTGCATGCTCCAACAATATTGACAACATTGTTCAGTACACGAAAACTGTAAATATCTGTAGAATAGCGTTTGATATAAAATTGAATCGTCACAGATTGGTATAAGCCACAAGATTGAAACTGAAAACTAATCTAATGAATTTAAAAAATATTTTTACCGTCGAGATGTTTATTTAATCGATAGATTCCCGCTCTCTGACGATCGAAATGAGCCATTATTTCTGCCACAGTGGAACTGATGTAAATATGTAAAATACAAAGTTTTTAAAAGATACTGGACACTTAACGAGCTGGTTACAAAATCAAGAAAGGAATCGTCAAAACATACTAATATGATTTCAAATAAAAATTTGAGCGATCAAATTAAAAATATATAGTAAAAAAACGTACCCTATCAAGGCTAACCACAGCACCAATTTGGAAAAATGAACCAGATTTCGTGTCCAATCATTTCACGTGACAAACATTCATTTATTTACGTTAGTATGAATATACAACCAAGGTTGTCAAGCGCATAAGCCGAAATTGAATCGGAAATAACTCCTCCTAATTTTTACTTTTTCTATTTTTTGGTAGTGCAACAAATAATTGTATTTTAATCGTACAAAACTGATGAAGCTATTTTTTTAATGAACAAAAAACTCAGTATACCTTTTTCCGTGATCCGTAGAATTGTATTGAAATCCTGTTTTCGTTTTCTTAAAATTTGAAAGTTTTGCACAAGTGAGATAAGAAGCCACTGGATCGTTTGTTTGGAGTCCCACGTACCATGTTGTGCCGATTAACTGTAAATCGAAAAATTGGAATTATTGTGCGTGTATACGACGATATAAATATTCTAGTCAAGTGACTCAGTTTGAGATCATGACTCATCCAATATCATAGCCGCACATCTTGTAGTATGAAGATGTTCTCGTTGCGGACCCAATGACAATAGTACCAAAGTTGCCACACCTAAATTAAAATGAACGAAGTGATAATGATTGAAGCTATGGATATATCTACATTGGCGACCCAGAGTTAGTTTCTTCGGCTAATACCTATGCCAACCTCCACATCACGGTGTAACCAAATCGCAAAGATCCGGTTTTTCTTAAACCATGCGTGTGAGAGAATGCCACTTATAAATAAAAATCTAACTCTAAATCGCTCATTAAATGATATAACATATATATCTTACTATATATATATGTTGTATATCAAACTACCACATTTATTTCTCCAGATATTTTTATTTCAAATTCGGATTATTAGGGCAAATATGCAACAAAGTTACTACTTTACCTTGGACACATCAAGTTCGTCAGCTGAAGGTAGCTTTCTTGCAGTTAAGAAAGATAAACCCAACAGAGATATCAAGACTGTTAAACTTGTTTTGTGGATTGCCATGATCACGAACGATTAGAATAAATATGGATAGTGACCTGTTCATAATGTAACAAAAATTTATATATATCATCAGTCAATTTTATCTACATTTACATGTGATTGTTGTATAGTATTTATTATATCAAAGTATTCAGTATATAAATGTATCCAAAAATTAATTTTATAATTGTGAAATCTTATTTATTTAAAGAACTGCCGCCCTACGTTCATAAGCAGAATTTGGGATCAAAATGAAATATCACGATTTTGGCATTGGCAATCAACTCAGTGTTATATTATCCAACACTCGTATTTTTTAGATTCCCCAGAAAAGTCCTATATATGTATAAACAGTTTAAATTACCTTGTCTGGCACACACGATGCTTGTTAATTAACATAGCTATCTACTTTAATGCTACATACTTCACTGCTAAGATAAAAACTATAACAGATCATTTTTAACGTACAACACCTAGCCTGGTAAAATATAGGTAAAAATATTCCTGTTTTTACAAAGGTGGTTGAATAGATATTTTACATGATGCCTTCTCGACTAACACGGTTCAGCCAATATTACAGAAAGCTAATAGGAAACATTCTTCCGAGATGCATTCGTCCTACACGAATATAATCAATATTGTTGTTCTAATTCCTTTTTTTTTGTTTTGTTTATTACCTCACGACTCAGAATCACAAATGATACGAGTCATTAATCTTTTTCTGGATTGTATTCTATCGCTGGGAGATTCCGCTACTGTGTGTGCATATATAAGAACTGAAGTTACTAACGCCACCTGAAGCTCGCTCTTCGTTTGTTAATTTTGTCTAAGTATTTGATCGTTGCACCAATAATTCAATAGGCAAAATGCAGGTGTGTGGACAAAATCACAGCGGTGGCACTTCCGAATCTATAATTTCCTTCCTGGCATCAGGGTGTTCAATTTATCTACTCCGCTTGACTATGTTTTGCAGCTAGAAAAACCAGGTGTTATAAAAAGGCCTTCGGCAGAAGTGTGTCTCAGATAAAGCCCTGATCTTTGTTTCTGGAAATGATTGGCCATCATAGCCTTACATTAAAATAGGATGTCGGGGCCGTTGTTTTTATTGGACCAACAGCGTTGTTCTGCTCGACTCGTTCACCCGGAACGTACACTTGCCACTGCCCGGCTTTTGCGTTGCAGCCAATGAATGTATGTAAAGATATTATATTTGTCATTATTGTCGCAGTCTAAAGTGAGGTAAGGTTTAAGTCTGACATTTGTTCTGACTTGAGCATCATAATTGATCTTTATCTGGGATTTGATTTGAGATACAACGACTTTCCTCTTTTCGTGTTATATATATTTATCTCTTGAACAGTGAACTAACGCTTTATTATCACGCTCGATCGAAGAATAATCCAATAAGAATGTATCTGTGCCCTGTGGAGTTTGTAGTCGTTCGTGCTTTCATTTTTGCAATGGAATATTCCAAAACTACGAGTTTAGTAATTATATCGAAACGATAACCCGATACTCCTGGAAAACCGTTGAGTCTTATAACCTGGTGCGCCTCTTGGCCCGTAAAATACGGTACTTTTTATGTTCCTTGTTTGAAATATGTATTAAAAGTATTGAACAAAATGATGAATATATATCACGTTATGAAAGTTCCTAATTCTTTTCACTGTTCTAAACTCAATGTGAATATAGTTGTTGCTACAAGAATATATGGGCAAAAATGGATTGAAGTGGACCACGATATAAATTGAACGATTTAAAAAAAAATTGTTATACAACGCACAATACAGTTTTTAATTATACCCAAATTTTCTTGCTCAATAAACAACAACAAACAATATTTGCGATGATTAAATTTTAGTATAAACGCCATAGAAGGAAACTAAATTTTAAATAAAGCTCATAGTTTATAACGGAATGATAAAAATGAAGATAATAAATAAAGTGTTATATAAAATGTAAATTGGTTCTTCTTCGTCCTGAAAAATAAATTGAGATAAAACAGGTATTATTGAAAGATTTTAAATAGATACATTGAATTCACCTTTCTTTTTGAGATATATATATTTAAAGTCGTGCTGGTATTTTATGGATTGAACTGATGTGTATTATTTTACCATAATCCTGTTAATAATATAATTTAAAAAAATTTCCAATGTCGCTTCACAATACTTCTAGTAAAAAAACCTGAGCAATTGCGTATTTCGTCGGCGTTCACTTAGTTGAGGGTCTCCAAACTTTATGAAGCCGTGGGTTACTCCCAGAGGCGTAGCCAGAATATTTTGCGCCCGGGGCAAACTATAAAATTGGCGCCCCGACCTCCACGTTTAATCATATTTTCTATTACATTTAATTGTATATGTAAAAACAATTCAAATTTTAATGGAACATTTTATTTAAAGAAGAAGCAAAGCTATACAAAATATAGCATATGTCCTTAATGTCCCACTCAGTTACTGTCAAAGATGATTTACATAGTCTAAAATAAATTTATTTATCTTGATTTCACTGTCGCGAACTGGTTGATCACGTCATCAAAATCTGTTTTTTTTCAATGTTTCTCTTTCAACACTTAGAACAGGGGTCGGCAAACTACGGCCCGCGGGCCAGATCCGGCCCGTGAAGCAATATAATCTGGCCCGCGACGCTTCACTGAATTATATTAACAAAACAACTGTATTGACGATTATATTCTTTACGTAACAGAATTCGTTTTGAGACACTAAATTATATTATAATCTAACAAGTATATAATTCACAACCACTCGATTAAATTGATTATAGATAGACAAAAGGCAACAGAACGTAAAAAGTTGATGCTGAGTGCAAATGCTTTAATAACGCAGAAAATGATCAGTCTTCGCGCGCTGCTTGATTTTTAACTGAAATCTGTTTGAAGAAATGTGATTCATTGGCCATTCCCTCGATTTTAAACTTTCCAATGCTGCCCGCCAATGACTTGCAACCTTTAATTTTGGCCCACGAACGACAAAAGTTTGCTGATCCCTGACTTAGAACATCATTGAGACGATCCGGTCCCATTGATGCACGCGAATACAACAAAATAAATTTCAATTTGTTGAAAGACCTTTCACAGCTTGCAATTGAAACTGGTATTGTTAACAAAATTTGTAGAGAAATTCGCAGATTCGGGAAAACGTCGTCTCCAAAAGACACAATAAAACCAAGAAGAGCCAAAGGGGCTTCTGGTTGACACCGATGCATTAAGCTGAGCTGTTGCGATGCCGTTGCAAGTTGTGGTCATCATAAATATTAGGCCCAGGGCTCAGTAAACCACACTTTTTACGAATGTCGTTGCCAGGCGGGAACTGAACAATCCCTTGCCACCAAAAGTTAGGCCTGCGTCGTGGGCTACCTGGAAACGTTTAGCAGCTTATCACGAAATACAAAACCACGTATTACTCAAAACATGTATTACCAGCACTTCGCTGTTTAACATCATTAAACCAAATTCCGTTGCCTTTCGTCACCAGCACAGAACTAATATCAACTTACATCGGAGTGCGCAGGCAAGAACTTATCGATACCAGTTGGAGATGCATACTCCTGAGAAGCTAATTTGCTGGATCAAGCTTTAACTATTACTATAAATGGTATTTAGCCATCAGGAAACACTGATAATGTTAGAGATAATTTAGCAATCATCAATAATTATAACATGAGAAATAAATTAATATCAATAACACATATTTGTTCAAAATTTTCGTTTTAAAATGATCACTTATATAATTGCCTAGGCCCTAGGATATCACAAGGCATCTGCATTTATAACAAACACCCAGCACAAGCCTAAGATAAAATGGACTTCGCAGTTGTGTTATCAAATGTTACATTTTTCTTGTATTGATTGTCCAAATTTTATTTTCATCTTTTAAGCATTTCTTCGCCTTCGATTGGCCATCATAGCCTTACATTAAAATAGGATGTCGGGGCCGTTGTTTTTATTGGACCAACAGCGTTGTTCTGCTCGACTCGTTCACCCGGAACGTACACTTGCCACTGCCCGGCTTTTGCGTTGCAGCCAATGAATGTATGTAAAGATATAACAATATTTGTCATTATTGTCGCAGTCTAAAGTGAGGTAAGGTTTAAGTCTGACATTTGTTCTGACTTGAGCATCATAATTGATCTTTATCTGGGATTTGATTTGAGATACAACGACTTTCCTCTTTTCGTGTTATATATATTCATCTCTTGAACAGTGAACTAACGCTTTATTATCACGCTCGATCGAAGAATAATCCAATAAGAATGTATCTGTGCCCTGTGGAGTTTGTAGTCGTTCGTGCTTTCATTTTTGCAATGGAATATTCCAAAACTACGAGTTTAGTAATTATATCGAAACGATAACCCGATACTCCTGGAAAACCAACCGTTGAGTCTTATAACCTGGTGCGCCTCTTGGCCCGTAAAATACGGTACTTTTTATGTTCCTTGTCAGCACTTCAATGGAAGTTTGAAATATGTATTAAAAGTATTGAACAAAATGATGAATATATATCACGTTATGAAAGTTCCTAATTCTTTTCACTGTTCTAAACTCAATGTGAATATAGTTGTTGCTACAAGAATATATGGGCAAAAATGGATTGAAGTGGACCACGATATAAATTGAACGATTTAAAAAAAAATTGTTATACAACGCACAATACAGTTTTTAATTATACCCAAATTTTCTTGCTCAATAAACAACAACAAACAATATTTGCGATGATTAAATTTTAGTATAAACGCCATAGAAGGAAACTAAATTTTAAATAAAGCTCATAGTTTATAACGGAATGATAAAAATGAAGATAATAAATAAAGTGTTATATAAAATGTAAATTGGTTCTTCTTCGTCCTGAAAAATAAATTGAGATAAAACAGGTATTATTGAAAGATTTTAAATAGATACATTGAATTCACCTTTCTTTTTGAGATATATATATTTAAAGTCGTGCTGGTATTTTATGGATTGAACTGATGTGTATTATTTTACCATAATCCTGTTAATAATATAATTTTAAAAAATTTCCAATGTCGCTTCACAATACTTCTAGTAAAAAAACCTGAGCAATTGCGTATTTCGTCGGCGTTCACTTAGTTGAGGGTCTCCAAACTTTATGAAGCCGTGGGTTACTCCCAGAGGCGTAGCCAGAATATTTTGCGCCCGGGGCAAACTATAAAATTGGCGCCCCGACCTCCACGTTTAATCATATTTTCTATTACATTTAATTGTATATGTAAAAACAATTCAAACTTTATTGGAACATTTTATTTAAAGAAGAAGCAAAGCTATACAAAATATAGCATATGTCCTTAATGCCCCACTCAGTTACTGTCAAAGATGATTTACATAGTCTAAAATAAATTTATTTTTCTTGATTTCACTGTCGCGAACTGGTTGATCACGTCATCAAAATCTGTTTTTTTTCAATGTTTCTCTTTCAACACTTAGAACAGGGGTCGGCAAACTACGGCCCGCGGGCCAGA